GAAAGGTTCAGCATATTTGTTGAGAGTCAGAGGTCTCTGGCAGGATAGAACTGGGGATGATCCTGCGAGCACAGACACTATTGAAGTGTTGTTTAGAGGAGCAGTTGAATCCTTCTTCTATTCAAGAGGCATTAAAATTAGTTGTGGGACTGTCTGAATTGACTTTTGCTTTGTGGTCCACTCATATTATTCATCATATTGAAAATGAATTAGAACAACAGGAACAAGAAAAGACCTGGCTAGTCTCCATTGCACAAGTGGCTAAGTCACAGTTGAAGAAAATGAGAGACAAAGTAAACCAGGCCAAGGCCTCTGCTAAACAGATGCCCCAACAACCCCCTCTTTATCCCATCTCAGCAACCACAAGCACAGCCTCCATAGGTCCTGCCTCCTGTGCAATATCACCCACCACCCATGTATTATGGACCACCTCCTCCACAGAACTATACTTCCCCGCCTGCAAGATATCAGTATAGACCTGTTTATAGTGGAAGAGGACGTGGTCGCTCCAATAACAGACTTATCACATGCAAAAATTATCATTGTTTCCAATGCGGAGGGCTAGGACACTGGACGAATCAATGTCATGCCCAGCCAGCCCTACGATATTCACAATCTACAGGAGAAGTTCCTCAGTATGACTATAATACTTATCCTCCTCCACCACCTGGACAACATCAGGAGCCAACCAGATGCCATTGGGGTGCCCTGAACAGACAGAAGGTGACTCTCTGTGTTCCCCAGATATGTTTCTTGAGCCTCTAGTAAGACTTACTGTCAATGGTCGTGAATATATGTGCATGGTTGACACAGGAGCCAGGTATTCCACTTTGAACACGCCGCTCCAGAAGGAGATGCAGTTGCATCCCACTTTATGTAAAGAGCCACTAGCAGAAGCACAAATGACCCTTTATTGTGATGGGCACAATCATCACCTACCGACAGGCAGCCTCGTAGCATCTTATGCGGTGGTGGAAGAGACATCCGCTGGCCTAGAAACCAGAACAGCTCAAATCTTACCACAGCCTGCTTCAGCACAATTGGCAGAATTGTTGGCTATAACAGAAGCATGTAAATTAGCTAAAGGAAAAACTGTAAACATCTATACTAATTCTGTCTATGCAGTACAAGCAATGCATGTGGACCTGTGTCACTGGAGAAGAAAAGATTTTGTGACCTCTGCTGGCACCTCTGTCAAGCATTTAACACAGCTGCTAGATCTATATCATGCTCTTTTAGAACCAGAAAAAGTAGCCATAGTTACCAAAAGGGAGATGGGAGAATAGCCAGAGGCAACAATGCAGCTGATTTGGCCGCTAAAGCTGTAGCTGGTACACTGTAAATACTGTACATAGACAAATAGTTCAGAAGTCAATGGATGAAAAACCGCACAGGGACTTATGCGTACAGAACATTAAAGAACTGCAAGAAGCAGCTGCTCCATCAGAAAAACAGGCATAGAGAGACAAAGGTGCCTCCAAAGATGAAACAGGACTTTGGAGAAATCACAAAGGGAAAATAGTAGTTCTGGCTGGACTGCCGAACATGTTGTGTCAGGAAGTGAACAGTAGAGGTCACTTTGCAACTTCTAAAGTCACAGCCCTCATTTCCCAACATTTGTGGCACCCCTACCTTAAGGACACCACCAAATACTTTGTACAGAGTTGTGAAATATGTAATCAATATAATCCAAAAACATCACTGAAAGCAGGGGTGGGCAGTTTTCCTGTCCCAGACGCCCCATGGAAGGAAATAGTGATTGATTTCACTGACATGGGTGCGGATCACAGAGTTCCAGAGAATGGGACTCCAAGGTTGAGCAGCTGCTTCCAAGCTTGACACCACCAAGTGCGATGCAGAGCATCTGATGATGAGGTGAAGTTGCTTTTCAGAAACTGAAAAAACTTTGAAAAAATCAACTGGACTAGATTTCTAGGTCGAAGACGTTTCACCTCTCATCCAAGAGGCTTCATCAGCTCTGACTGACTGGTGTTGAGCCGGAGATATTTATCCCCCTCGGTGGTGTTTCAGTCCTTTGAAGGCCAACAATGTCCCTTAATGACTGAGTCGTTTTAGCCCAGTATTGGTGAGAGTCGTTACTTGTCTTTAAGACCTCCCCTGTCAACCGATGCCTATTGTCCTGGTGGGCATGTTTGGGCAGAGATCTCAAAACAGGATTGTAGATGGAAGACAAGTTGTGTCTTAGTCCACCACCCCTATTTAGTGAGGGGTGTTCTATTTTTACAAAAATAGCTTCCTTAACTTCTCTCTCAAACCAGCGATGTTCTCTGGAGAGGATCTGGACTAAACTGTCTTCAAAAGAATGTCCTTTGTCCTTCAGGTGGAGGTGGACTGCTGACTCTGATCCACTGGAGTTGGCCTTCCTGTGTTGGGCCATGGGCTATAATGACTCAGTCGTTAAGGGACATTGTTGGCCTTCTAAGGACTGAAACACCACTGAGGGGGATAAATATCTCTGGCTCAACACCAGTCAGTCAGAACTGATGAAGCGTCTTGGATGAGAGGTAAAACGTCTTCAACCTAGAAATCTAGTCCAGTTAATTTTTTAAAAAGTTTTTTCAGTTTACTATGACCTGGATGACTGAGAATCTGCACAGATATTTTCAGGAACTGGGCTTGGCCCCTTTGATCCAGTGAAAGGAACTCTTGATGCCTCAGCATACCAGGACATTTTAGACAGTCTCATGCTCCAAAGGGAGTGAGTTTGATGTGGAAGAATTTGACTGGCCTGCATAAAGTCCTGACCTCACAGGTGTGCTTTTGGGGGAATGGTCAGAATTCCCATTGACACACTCCTGGAGTCCGTGGACAGCCTTCCCAGTGGAGTTGAAGCCATTACAGCTGCAGAGGGTGGGCCAACATCAATTTTATATAGACTGAGAATCGGTTGTGATTCATATTCATTTGCATGAGAAGGCAGGTGGACAGATGCTTTTGGCAATACAGTGTAGTATGCTAGCAGTGAAGACATGTTTACATTGTACTGAGATTCCAAAAGGGGGCCTTATGCTCCCTCTGGTTGAATGACTGATTTGTCTCTGATATCTAGGTCAAGCTGGGACCCTGTCCCTGGGATGTTGGAAGTTCAAGTCAGTTCTCCAATACAGTTTATAATTCTCCACTGTTTTTGACTGGCATGATCATGTCAAAAAGGGGAATTGTAATATTTGAGTTAGATGAACTTAAGTTTCTTTTCTTATTTTTATTCCTTACTTGTATGTATTACTATTGTATTGATGACTGTTAAAACTGCTTAGTATCTCCTGTTTGTCTGTTAAAAGAATGTGTTTGCAGGAAGTCTGCGCCTTGAAGTTAACCAAATGTTTGGTATTGTTAGGTATTTTTAGTCAGATAGAAATTGGATAGATACTTTATGTATTAGAAATGTTTTGTTAGATTCTAACCTCTTTGTCAGAAATCAACCCAATTCTTTAGTTGGAGCACGAGAAGTGACGACAGGAGAGGACTGTTTAAAATCAACAGAA